GTTTTCCGGTCGGCGATCGTAACATGAAATCATGTTTTTTTCGTATTGTTTCCATGAAAGAATTATTTCAGTATATCGAAATGTGAGAGAAAAGTGATGTTTTGTATTTCTTATGTGAATGAAAAAAAGTGTAATAGTTCTTTGTATCAAGATGGATTTGAAAGGATGTACCTATCGAAAGTGATAGAAAAGTGAGTATTTGAATATGTTCATACATCACACAGTTTATTTCTTCGAAACGTTCATTTACCAAATTCTACTAGTTAAGTAATGATTTTCAATCTCAAACACTTTGATTCAAAATAATTCCAGTAATGCAAAGTCATTTGTATTATAATTTTATTTGGTGAAAATACGAGTCATTCTAGTACCGTTCAGAGATCGCATACCAAAAAAACTAAAGTTTCAACAAATTCAGAAAGTATCAATCATAAAACATTTGAAAAATACAAATTACATGTTTTAGTTAAAATTTCCCTTATAATATCAACAAACTAATTACATTACTTTTCTGAGTTTTGTAGAAACAATTACAACTTCATCTAAATCTTTTATAACTTCACAAATCTTTCTAAGTTTTTTTTGATATTTCTTCTTCTTCTTCTCAAGCTTTTTCCTTATTTCTAGTTTCCTTTTCACTAATTCATCCATATCCCTCTGATTTTCTTTTCGTATATCAGCAAGGAAATCCGCGGTAGTATTGAGATCCCCATCTTGTATAGTATATTCTGAATCTTCGTTATCTGTTTCATTTTCCGCTTCAGACTTTTCTTCATCTCGTTCTTCAATTATTGAATTTCCACTTTCTGCTTTTTTCGTTTCACGGTCATATCACCTTCCTTTTTAATGAAATTTGCATCCGTTTCTTCATCTCCTCCGTCATCTTGAACTTCTTCGTCATCCGACGAAACATCTGAGATGTCTTCAAATTCTGGCTGCACTAACACTTTTCCACGTCGAGGGGTTGATTCTGCTAATGGCCGAAACGGCATTGCTTTGTGATCACTAAATGAGCCGCTTACGAATTCGACACTCTGGTTTAATTGTGGTGAAATATTTCGAAACGTATCTGAGTTTTTGTCACGTTTGAGATACTGTAAAATATCAATTTTTTTCCTCTGAATTGGTACGGTCAAAACTTTTGTCTTCATTTTTTCAGTATCTGAGTTTTTTTTTAATTTGTTGAAACTTTAGTTTTCTTGGTATGCGATCTCTGAACGGTACTAGAATGACTTTGACTGCTTGTGCGAGTACTATTTATTTGTTCAGGGCTAATCCCCCATCAAGATCAAAACATTTACCAAACAACTCGCATCTTGCAAATTTACTGCACCATATGGGTACAATTACATATTCATTGTTTCAATTTTCCTATCAGTACGATTAATTTTTCGCTTCAAAAATTAAATCAACTGTAATGAGATAAAAAGGAATACATGACCTATCTTAACTGAAACTAAATGGGTCTAATTAACCATGAATAAAACATTCATTACTACCAATTCACCAAACTCGCATCTTGCAAATTTATTTCACCCCATTTTGATATCAGCGCGATTAATTTTTTTCACCTACATATGTTGAACATCAGTTAAGACATGACCTATCCTAACTGAAACTGAATTGGACTAATTAACCATCTGCTGGTATATTAAAGATGATTATTCCACATGGCACAATTGTCTCATATTTGCGAAACTCGTTTCAATTTACCTTTTCGTTATACTCTCGCTAATAAGAATCACCATCACTTGCTGAATAATTTGCGAATTAAATCCTATTTGAAAATATTAACCCACTTTAAGCCATCTGTTGAAAAATAATTATTTCAATGAACGTCATGAACGTCTCATGAAAAGCCTTCGCGTTAGTTATTTGTGGAAAGAATAAATATTTCTGCTTTCTTATGAAAAGTTGAATAGGTAGATGCAATATTGAAGATTTTTTTCTTGGGGCGTACAAAAGTAATCCCTATAATATTCGAAGAACATCGTGCTAGGGAAAGGAGGTAGGTATTGTGATTTTTTAGCTTTTGGAAGTTCTTGGCAAATTATTGCCTATAGATAAACGAGTTTTGGTAGAGTGTTGTTCGACATATTTGAATGGAAGGATGCGCTGACTGGGTTTGTCGGTCCTGGCTGTTATTGATAGTGATGAAATGATAGCACAGATATCCCGCGGAATATTGAAGAGTGATTAGTCTTAAATGAATTATATAACTCATTCTCGTATTTTCACGTACTTAATGATTAATTGAATGAAATGCTGTGATTGGCTGCCTGATACCGTGATGCCGGTAATGATTCTCTCAATATATATCGAGCGCTGTGATTGGTTGCCTGATGCCGTGATGCCGGTAATGATTCTCTCAATATATATCTACTTGCAATTTTTCAGTAATTCATAATTCAACGTATCCATCTAATATTGGTATCAGAATTTTCCTTCAGTGCTTCTGAGCGTCAATAAGTTATAATTCAATTTGAATATTGCTGTAATGTAACCTACTGTGCCTCTGCCTATGTAGGTAATATGGCAAGAAAAATGTCAGCAGTCCAAGAGCTGAGTATATGGCAAGAAAAATGTCAGCAGTCCAAGAGCTGAGTAGGTATTGAAACATCGTAAAAAAGCTCTGGTGACGAAAATGTAATAAATGTATAAATAACTTCCAGAATATCATTTATTTTCAAAGACGCATGTAGCGGTTATAAACTACCTAAATAATATTTATGCATCCATCGCATCGCGGGAAACATTATACCTACGGCTGCACCCTGCACGCGGGCTCGGCCAGCCGACTACGAAGGAGTGGGGTCAGTGGGGTGGCTTGTTACAGGAACGGCGTAGACCGATTGGCGATTAGTCAATGATTAGTCATTGTTGTGCTTCTCGCGTTAGGTGAGTGGTTGTCGGTTATGTTGATTTTTTTGAGTTTACATTACGTTTTCAACAGAATATAAATATTTTTTGTTCACGAGTTATTTTATTTTTATTTTCTTTCATTTTATTTTTTCGACTTTCTTGTTATTATTTTTTCATACCAACTAACCCTTATCCACCTCCTTTTTCTTTCCCCATTTCCCCTGGCGAGAATGCTCTTACCTCGTGGTTCTTGCTGGACAATTTAATTTTTTGGTTATGTGTACAGGGTGATTCACCATAAATGTCCCCCCCTCTAGCTCAATTATTTTTAAACCGATTTCAAAATTTGAAATGTCATCTTGAATGATTTTTGATTGAGTTTTTTTCCGCTACATCAGAAAATACAGGGTGCTCAGAACAAACGATCTACAGGGTACCATTTGATTTTTTTATATGGAACACTCTATTTTTCATTGTATTTTTAGATTCTCCCTGAACAGCTGATTTGCTCAATGTATCACACTTGGGGTCTATCGGGAATGATTACAGAGATATAGGGTGTTCAAAATCGAGATTTTTCAACTTTAGGATTTTTTTGAGACGAAACTATTCATCATCGGTCAAAACGGCTTTCATGTCCATATCTCAACTTTTGATTTACTATCTACTACATTTAATAATTGGAACAGATACAGGGTGATCAGAATTCTGAATCTTGAACCACCCTGTAAATGTTCCAATCAAATCCCAATAGACAGTTAATAAAAAATTAAGATGGAAACATAGGAGCCGTTTCGACCAATAATGAATAGTTTCGAGACAAAAAAATCCTAAACTTGAAAAATCTCGATTTTGAACACCCTATATCTCTGTTATCATTCCCGCTAGACCCCAAGTGTGATGCATTGATGAAATCAGCTCTTCAGGAAGAATCTAAAAATAAAATGAAATACAGGGTGTTCCATTTTGAAAAATCGAGTAGTACTCTGTAGATCATTTGTTCCGAGCACCCTGTATTTCCTGATGCAACGGGAAAACAAATTCTGAGAAATCATTTTAGATCATCCTTCAATTTTTAAATCGGGTCAAAAATAAGTGAGCTAGAGGGAGAAAGGACAATTATGGTGAATCACCCTGTACATGCTTATTTGCCATCGAACTTCACTCAAGCCACTGACCCACTTACGTTCGCATTTTAGAGCAATATCTATACCCTGGCCGACCCACGTTCTGAGGGCACGAGCCGTCACTGGTAGACTGCACATGCGTGCAACGGTCAGGGTTCTCAACGGGGTGTACTCATCCCATGTTGAAAAAAATTCCAATACCAGACCTAAGTCCTTTCCCTATCCTCTATAGGTACGCACGAAGTTTTCCGAACATTATAGGAATTTTCTTTCGTGCGTTTCAAGATACAAAAAAATATATTTTGCGGGTACATCAACGTATCTATAGTCACTTTGAAAAAAAAATCTATTTGGCATAACCACAAATAATTGAATACATTGTGAATGAATGTACCGCTGCCTTATCCTCCCTTGGCTCGCAATCAGAGAATCGGTGTTAATGGTGAATTTCAGTACCCCCAGGAGATATATGACCGTGTTCTCTGTCCAGAAAATTCAATTCATATTTTGATAAAAATGACAATCAGAAATATTCTTACACTTGTCTTAGGAAGAATGTATACGTAAGTCGAATCTCATAGTGTCGTATTGTTCACGGGTGATTTCGTTTTCCCGCGTTTAGAGCAGTGATTGTGGTGATTGGAGAAACTTCTCTGAGATCAAAATAATTAATCTTATCTGGGAATGAACATATGGAACCTGTCTTACTTGAAAGAATCATAAACTTGTGAACTTCACGTAAAAATGTCTTCTACTTTCTAAAAGTTTCGTTTTTCGTCAATCTAATATAATTTCTTGCCAACTGTCATTCCACGTCATTCCTTGTAGTGAGACGGAATGAAAAGTAGCAACCGAAATCATAAGAGAAAAATAAAACGACACATCAAAGTGATTACGGTAGCGGAATCGGATAAATAAAACGGAACTATACATTCCCTCTCTCTTCCGTAGGCGTGGCCCGACCACGGCGTGCCCTCCGACCCCGGCTGCGTGCTCAACTTCCTGCACGAGGTGAACAGGCGGCAGGAGGCCATCCAGCAGGAGAGCCCGCACCAGCCGCCCGGCGCCATCTTGGTGCACTGTTCGGCCGGCATCGGCCGCACCGGCACCTTCATCGTCATCGACATGATCCTGGACCAGCTCAAGAAGCACGGTAAGCCTTCACGAACTATTGGATTTTCACAAAGTTCTCCCACCCTTGGACCGCAAACATGTTGGAGTTGTTAAAGATGACAAAAGTAGTGGTACTAGCGGAGCAACTGCTTGAAAAGCGGTTTTTGCCTCATACTTAGTAACAATGGGTGAACTTCGCGATTCATTCATGAATCGTTAAAAAGTATACGCCGAACTGAATGAATGAAATCGCCATTTGAAAGGAGCTTTATATCTGGGTCTCTTACTTTGGCGCTGTTTGGACACAGACTACTGGTACTTGTTCGGATATCTCGGGCGCCAGGTTTTTTATAAAGGTGATTTACTTCACCTACTCCTTTAAACTGAGTTTATGAGGAGGCCTGGGTAGCAACAGAGAAGAAAGCCACAAGTGTCTACCCCGGTGCCTACAGTAAACCGGGAAACATAACTGCGGAATTATTGCCAAAGAACTGGTATTCTTCATAAATATATTCCATATATCTGATGGATCGGCACCTTCATCGTCATCGACATGATTTTGGACAAGCTGAAGAAGCACGGTAAGCTTTCACGAACTATTGGATTTTCACAAAATTTTCCCACAGTTAGACCGCGAACATGTTGGAGTTGTTATGGATGACAAAAGTAGTGATAGTAGCGGAGCAACTGCTTGAAAAGCGGTTATTCACGTCGGAACGGATTGTTTTTGCCTCATAATAAGTAACAATGGGTAAACTTGACGATTCATTCATAAATCGTTAAAAAGTATACGCCAAACTGAATTAATGAAATCGCCATTACTTTGGTACTGTTTGGAAAGAGACTACTGGTACTTGTTCGGATATCTCGGGCGCCAGGTTTTTCATGAAGGTGATTTACTTTACCTATTCCTATAAACTGAGTTGTTGAGGAGGTCTGGGTAGCAACAGTCAAGAAAGGCACAGGAAGTACTTACCACGGTGCCTATAGTGAACCAGGGGTCAGATAACTGCGAAATTATTGCCAGAGAATTGATTTTCTTCATGAATATATTTCATATATCTAATAAATCGGCCGCACCGGCACATTCGTCATCGACATAATCTTGGACCAGCTGAAGAAGCACGGTGAGTGGGTTAAGACTTCATGAACTATTGGATTTTCACATTTTTTTCCAACCGAACGGGTTGGACCTGTGATGGATGACAAAATTCATGATACTTGTGGAGCAATTGAATGAAAATCACGTGTTTATATGCTTTTATTCACGTCGGAGCGGATTGTTTTTACGTCAGCCCGAATAACAATCGATAGACACATCAATTCATCCATAAATTATTAAAAATTAATCGCCAACAATCCTAAGCGCCAAGCACATACAAATAAATGAAATCACGAATGGTGGGTATATTTGCGAAATAATTGCCAGCGAACTGACATTCTTCATAAATATATCATCTAATAAATCAGCTGAAGAAGCAGAGTGAGTGGGTTAAGACTTCACAAACTATTGAATTTTCCCCTTTTTTTATCCGAACGTGTTGAAGCTGTGATAGGTGACAAAATCAATTATACTAGCGGAGCAACTGAATGGAGAATACATTTATACGCAATTATTGACAACGGAGCGAAATGTTTTTGCCTCAGACTGAATAACAAAGACACCGTGATTCATTCATCATTCGAAAAGTATACGTCAACAATCCTAACGCTATGAATGAAATCGCAAATGGTGAGGATAACTCGTGCGGAATTGTTGCCAAGCTATTTTTTCAATACTTGGACACAAAATATCCAACAATTTAGAAATGAAACTCTATACGTCGGTACCTTAGATATTGATTATTAGAATACGTCTCTTGGGACTTGTATGTCGGATTATTCAGATGATGAAATGAAAATGACAAATATCTAACCTAACATCAGGTGAGCACTTCAAAGGCACAAAATGATTACTACATGGGAGATACCCTTCAGATTTTTTGCTATTCAGTGACTTGACCACGAATGACATTGAGTTTTAGTCTTCTGCGCAACCAAAATTCGGAGGCCCCGATTCGATATGGATACAAAATCATCACTCATTTTTGTTTTCGTGAAATGAATTTCAACTTTTGTAGTAAACTATTTCAATAACGCATGTTTTCGTTTGTTTTCAAGGTCTGGACTGTGAAATAGATATACAACGTACAATACAAATGGTTCGATCCCAACGTTCTGGTATGGTACAGACTGAAGCACAATACAAATTCGTATATTTAGCAGTACAACATCATATAGAAACCATCACTGAAAGAATGAAGGCTGAACAAGTAAGTTTTCTCATCTTAGTTGAATATCACCACTTTGACTACAGTTTCATTTCTCACAAACCAAAATATGTGTATTTCCTCTACATTTCACAGTTTCTCATAGCGTTTTACACTTGTCGAACTGGTTCGAACATTTTTCTAACTAGAAAAACTTCACAAACGATAAGATTTTGGCTTGCCTAAATTTTATATATCCGACTTTCCCTACCTCAAGGATTAGTTACCTGTGGACAGGTTCTATGAACCTGCATTTTCGGAAATTAGGAACAATATCTTCATTAAAATATGGTGTACCGGATTAACTTGAAAGGGTTGATAGCAAATACATATTATTACCTACTAAGAAAACAAATTCAACAGTGGTGAACTATTGAGGTCTAGTTGATCGTTAAGTAAAATGTCAGAATTTTTGAGTTTGTACATTTCTACTGATTCAAAATCTTCGAGTTTAACTCCTTCATTTTCTGCGTGTAGAATTTCGAGTTTATCATCAAAACTGGTTTTCTTTTAATATATGGTTGGCATAAGTTGAATTTGTTTTCTTTTCCAAAAAATTCATCTTATTTTCATGAATGCGCTGATTATGTACGACCTGTCTCACCAATATATTATTATACTCTAGGACAAGATCCACAGTTGAGTTTGTATACCCCTGATTTTTCGAATTCAGAGGTTTTGTCTTTATTATTTTTGATAAACCTTCCCAACGTGTTATTTGTTCTATATGCTACTTTCAAGTCCTGTTTATGTAGATATGAAGCTAATTTTTCAGTTGAAGATCCGAAATAGGTTGAAGTTCTATAATTTTGATTATTATTCTTGATGGTAGGATAAACTTTATGAATAGCTTTATTATGGATTTTTTTTGAAACGTTGTATCCCTTGTTGACTGCAATCTGTTTTATGATATTGAGTTCTTTATTGAAATTTACTTCCGAAAGACGGACATTCACTAGTTTGTGTATCATACTAATATATGCTGGAATTTCATGGTGATGAGGGTGTGTTGAATTATTATGAATAGTGATATCAGTGTGGGAAGGACGGAAGTGTTATGTTACTTCCAAAAAAATCATTCCTATCAGTGATATGGGTATTATATCTCTCACAAACAAGTTATATGACTTCATTCCAATCAACTCATTTCGGATACTTAATTCTCCAGTCTTCATGATGTACATTATTTTCATCTCTCTATAATATAACTTAAACTATAAGGAACTGACATCTGAGAATTATTATTTGTTGACATACTCCTGTCATCTAGGTGCATTTGTTTTTTTGGATGTAAATTCATATTCATCATACAGTACGTGGAATGAAAAAAACAAACCAACTTAACCAATCTAACCTCTAAAAATAATTAAATCATAATATTATTTCGTATTGATGTTTTGACAAAGAAAATATCTCCAATTATTGGTGCATTGAGAAGATGTCCCAAACTTGATATTAAAATTGCAAACATGATTCTCTACTCTCGTATACTGAGTCGTATCAACTATTTTATAAATGTTTGGGGATCTTGTTCAAAAAGAAATTTCAATAAAATATCAACATTATATAGAAAATCGTTAAAAGTATTGTATCGTCTCCCATTTGATACACCAACCAATCAATTGTATGAAATAACAAATACGTTATCTATAGATGAAATATATAGAATTGAAACTCTTAAAATATCATATAATATCATGAATAAAAAATTGAAGTCGAATATTATTTTGATACGGAATTCTGAAATTCATAATCATGAAACTAGACAATATAACTTGTTTCATCTTGACGCCGCTAGCTCCATAGTCGGACAAAAAAGATTCACTCATTCACCCTTAACTGAATTTAATAAACTACATGGCAATATCAAAAATTGACGAAATATAGGTACATTCAAAAATGAAGTGAAAAAACTGATTAGAGCAAACTGGATAAAATTAATCATGCCATTTTACTATGTTTTTTCTACAAATATTATTCTTTGTTTTCCGATTTATAGTTGTTGATATATTTTGAATGATGAAATGTTTACCTATAGGTATATAATTATGTACTTCCTTATACCAGAGCCTATTCTGTCTGGAAGTTATTTCTGCAATAAAAAATAAATAAATATTCCATTGGAAATGCACCAGTTCAAATTTTTTGGAGAAAACCAACGTAGTGCCACTGCAGAACTGGTGCAAAACTGGTGCACCACCAGGATTACAAATTGAATTCGCTATAAATCGACGAGTGGCAAACGCTATTAGTTTCAACTATCACTCAATGTCCGTTTCAACGGGTTCTCAGGACTTCGTGATTTTTTTCAGAAATCGATGCAATTGGGCAGAGAGTACACGAACATCCGGTATAGCGGCGACATGGCGACCAGCTGCGTCTCACCGACCACGCCCAATAACAGGACGAGCACAGTGAGCGTCTCCTTTCCCGCCCAAAATCAAAATAACGTCGTGTTGCGACAAGAAACGAAAAAACCACCCAGGGCCGTGTCCGAGCTCTCGCTACCAAGGTTAGTGGGAAATTTCAAAATAAGTTCTGTCAACATTTTCTTTCTATCAAGTCGAATTATACAAATATAAATAACGTAAGTGAAGTGACAATTTTGATATTTTTGAAGTGATAAATCACTCCGACACGGAAAATGTTATTTGACGACGACGTGAGTCATTTTGACATCGATAAAAAAGGATGCACCTTTTTTATCGCTGATAAACTGCCTGCTCCTTCGATCTAGTAGCTATTTGCGCCTGATTTCACTCCGATTTCTAGCGTTTCAAGTTTGATTGATGGATATGGTTCACGCGTAAATTAGCAAGATGAGCCGTTTTAGGAAAATTTTGAACTCAAACATTTTCCATCAGTTATTTCTCTCGAAAAACTGACACTAGACATTCTCGCATTTTTTCATGTCAGTTTTTCTTGTAAAATTACTGATCAGCAAATGTTTTTCGTTACCAAGAGAAATTTATCCGATAAAAAAAAGCTCTTGTAATCCAGTGAATAGAGGAGGTTCACCTTACAAACGGTCCGGTAGTTCTGAATTTTTGATATGTTATCTAGGATGGTTATGGAGTGTTTGAAATGCAAAATGCACAATTCCCCCTCCTTTGCGCCCACTGCCATATCGAAAAAACCGAAAAAAATAGGAACTTTCTCCAGATTTTCGCTTATATTATCGTTATGGTTCATTTTAGCTACAAAAGAGTTCCATTGAGTATTGTAGAGGATTGGATTTCCTATAATTCGCGTTTCGAATTTTGATCCTAGGACTGATAGTTACGGAGATATGCACCTTTTAAAAAAATGTAAAAAATCGCATTTTCCGGAACTTTAGAACGCTGTAGTTCACTTATGGCCTATTCTAGGGAAACAAGTATCGGAAGAAGATTTGTAGGGAATTTAATTACCTACAGAAATGCATGTACAATTTTTTTCACCCACCCTACGTAATGGGGCGTGAAAATGAAAGTTAAAACAACGGCATATTGTTTTTTTGGCTATTGTGACTCCACATTGTATCTAAAAATATTCACTTACCATTTTACAGTACATGACACAGCGCGATGCTTAAGATGCAGGTACTATTTCAATTGATTACCTACCTACCCATTCACTCAATGACCTGGTGGTAGCCAGATTGAGTTTGAGGGTACTTGTTTTCAATCTGCTATAGCGAAGGGAGCTCAACGATTGTTCTTTACTGCCACCATATAGGGAAACCAAGATTCTCTCCCCTGCTACTGACTGGCAGCAGGGTCCTCGAACCTTTCCGCTTGATGGGTCTCTCTTAAAAAGTTTGCAAAATTTATTCTTTCCGAACCCAGAAATGTTAGATGTGGTGTCGCAGCCCGATATTGCGTGCAGGAGTAAGATACAGCCTTTGGAGTTGTACTTGTAGGAGGAGGCGGAGTAGATGGCGCTGGTTTTTCGAGGTAGACATTGTTCACCGCAGGTGTTGTGCCAGTCAGTAGGACGAGTAGGTAGGTCAGTGTCTTCTCTTGACGCTTGCATTTCATTGCAGAGCAGCTCAACAAATCGGTCCTGCGTTTTTTTATTTTATAAAAAAATCATATCTCCGTAAAAATCAGTCCTAGAAACAGAATTCGAAACGAGAATTATAGGACATTTAATCCACTACAACATTGAATGAAGCTCATGCACCAAAACGAAGATATACGCAAAAATCTGGAGGAAGTGCCGATTTCTTTGGGTTTCTTCAATATGGCGGAGGGCGCGGAGGGGGGGAAATTGTGCCTTTTGCATTTTGAACAGTCAATAACCATCATAGATAACATATCAAAAATTCAGAACTACCGGACCGTTTGTGAGGTGAACCCCCTCTATGTGTCCTTATTCACTGGATTATTGTGTTTCTACTGTTGATAAATTTCCTCACTAACTCAAACATTTTCCATCAGTTATTTCTCTCGAAAAACTGACATACCGATAAAAAAAACTTGTGTTTTTACTGTTGATAAATTCTATAGGCCCGTTAGGCACTTTCTGGGATGGCAGCATAGTGGAAGGAGAAGATGGTGTGCCTACGCGCATATTATGTGACGTCATCTGGGATACCAATATCAACTGCTAGTCACAGACAGATACCGTTGCCATGGGCGTGCGCAATGAATTCAATCATGTTTATTGAAATTTCTATGAGTTTCTCGATCTGTTTAGAAATAATTCAATTTATATAAACAGGTACCTATTCCTTCGATTTTACTATTTCATTGATTTTGGAAATTGTGATCTTGAGGTAATTCGCAATCGCAAATAGCAAATACATAGGAATTATCATGTATTGCCAATCCAATCTGAATTATCCACTACTGTGTCGATTCTGACAGATTGAAATCCAGCAGTTAACGACGTTGACGTTGCTTCTGCTCCGACATCGACAACAGGAGTATCAATTTTTGCCGTTTTGTTATTCAAATCTCTGCTGCAATTTATATTTTGTGAGAAATTAATAGTTTTGAATTCATTTTCAATTATTTCTGACTTGATATTCTGTAGGAATGGCATCTTGTTTCAAATATTTGTGATTTTTTGTCAAGAACCGTACTTTCCTAGTTGTTTGTGAAAATTTTGCATGGAAATGTTTTGAAGAAATACGTGCTGTAATATGAATGTGATGATAATATGGTAGGTGAATACTTTGGAATGAGGATGTAAGGAATATAAGGTAGGTACCATTATTTGAGTTTATATTCTGTCGGCAGCAAGCTCCCATCGTTTCATTAGTTATCTTCTTCAAAATCTGTGCCTTTTGTATGTTAGTTGATATTTCCATAACCAGAAACGAAACAAGTGGGCATTTCGAAATTATTTCATACAATTTTAGTACTTATATAATATCTGAAGTTCGAGACATCAATCACGAAAACAAATAATAGCAATGACAGTTATACCCAGCTGACGTCCTGCGCAGAACAAGACGAGTTTGAGCTTTCTGTTGAGCACACCATCTTCTCCCTCCACTATGGATGGCAGTAAAACGGCCGGACTCGCGTCAGTCGCGTAACTTTGCATACCTATTTATGTCTATGTCAGCTGCACCTGCACCTTCAGCAGCGTTGCCAGCATTACTGGTTGAACAGTAGATCTACTGCTTTTGGGTGTATGATAAATTGACATTCATCATACAGGGCGTGGAAAGAAATTCTGAATTGAGACTCTATCACGAATCTGCGATTAGAGGTCTATAAAAATCACAAGTTTCCATCGTTCAAGTTTGAACCCCCTGATTGGGTATGAAAGTGTTGAAAAGGAATATTCTCAGATAAATTATGAACATACAAAAATGGATATATATTTATATAAAGCAATACATTGAGAATTCGCATTCTCTATGTGATGAGAATATTTACTCTTTTTCAGTTAATCCAATAGAAAACAACTACTTTCCTGGAAAGTAGTTGTTTTCTGTTGAATATTCAGAATGATGTGTGTAAATACATATTTTTGTCTGAAGGAGAATGCAAATTCTCAATTTCAGAAATTTTTCTATTTTATTTTCAAACTCTTATCGTGTGTGTTCAATAGATATAATTCAATGTTCGTCGTGGCATATAGCCAGGAAAGTAGTTGTTTTCTATTGAATTAACTGAAAAAGAGTAAATATTCTCATCACATAGAGAATGCGAATTCTCAATGTATTGCTTTATATAAATATATATCCATTTTTGTATGTTCATAATTTATCTGACAATATTCCTTTTCAACAGTAGATCTACTATTTCGTTCTACTGTTCTCCTGTTTTGTGATGATCCGATTCTATTCAAAATTAGTATCTAGAGATTTTCGGGATCGGGGGTTGTGATTATCTCGTCAAGATTAGGAAATTCAAGATGACGGACGAGTTTTGTGATTATTATTCGATTCTATTCAAAATTGGTATCTGGGATTTTTTGGGGTTATAGATTATGATTCTTTCGTGAAAATTTCGAAATTTTTGCGGAATTTGGAAATTCGAAATGATGGAACCAATATGGCGGACGAGTTTTGTTATTATAATCCGATTCTATTCAAATTTGGTACCTGATCGGAAACTATGATTCCTTCGTCAAAATTAGGAAATTGAAGATGGCGGATTCAATATGGCGGACGAATTTCGTGATTATGATACAATTCCATTCAATAATTTCATCTGGCGTATTAGGAGTCGGAGATTATGATTCTTTCGTCAAAATTGGAAAATTGAAGTGAATTGAAAAGGAGTAGAAAATGTATGGTAGTTTGAAAAACTAAAGAAACAAGCTTTTATAGATAGCCGAACTGGAAAGGAGTAGAAAACAAAATAATAGTGTGTTGATGAATATTCAAATGAAAAAATATTTACTAGAAATAATGTACATAGCAAAACAACGTTTGCGGGGTCAGCTAGTATTGCATAAAATCAATATTACTTCATTCAGATTTCCCCCGTATTGTCCAAAAGATATTGGAAATACTGACCAGTCAGATACATGGTTATGCCAGTTCTCAAAGGTATCAAAATGTTGTCCTATCGTTGAATAAAACTACATCCAAAATGAATATTCCATTTGACATAATAGGAGGAAGCCATGAAACCATAGTTTTTCTTTTTTACTTTTTGGAGCAACCAGTTTGTCAAAATATTTCTGATACTCCATAACAAAATATCATGTAAATGTTGGCTGAAGACTTGGCAATATGTGCTGAATGCTGAGAACTGACAAGAGAACGCCCACAATTCTTGCCGTGTGTCACAAATTCATTATAACCAAAAAGTCACAACACATAAGAGGGAGAAATTTAAGACAATGGATATTATATAGCTCATTATAAATATTACCAATACATAATTGAGGAGTTGAAAACTATTAACTAAGTTATATTTCTGAAATTCTCATGCGTAATTCAACATATGACAACTGTGATGATTTTAACATTTCAAAATCGACCGAAAAAAAATCTAAAAAAACATGAAATTGAAAGGTAATGGGCGTGTACACCTTAGTAGAACTTTCAACTCAAACCATGTTTATAATGATCCTTTTATACATAAATAATGATTGACGACATAATTCGATCGAAAAATTAACTGGAATGTTTTATTTTTGGACATAAATAATAGTACCTTTCTGAAAACGAACCCTCTTATGACGTAGAAACCTCATCTCACCATAGTTAAAAGAAAATGCCAAAAGCCCGACGGAGACTGAGGCAGCTGATATATTAATTCTTTCAACTGGGATCTCGCGCTAATTCACTCTGTCAGAAATCATGTAGCATTCATCTGTGTCTGGAATAGTATTGTTTCAGTAATAGGGTTTTGACGTCACATCATCGCATCGTTTTCAGAGGTCCGAAAAATCGGGGATTTCAATATCTTTTTATAAAACGTAGGGAGCTCACAGCAAGAAACGGTTTGCGGTGGTGAGCTAGTTTGAGTGAGTTCTATCGAATTATGAAATGAAAATTTTTTGTGATATGTGCCCATTGTGTGTTGATTCTATTTAAGAAATGGACAAACTAGTCCACTTGCCATTGTTTCATTGGCTTTCATTGGCTTGAGCCATGTTACATACTTTGAGAAAATCAGTAAAACGCTAAAATACTGATTTAATAGAAATAAATAAGATAGATTAACTGCAACATTATGCTCACTGTTTGTTTCTATTTTGTTACAGACCGCCCGATGATTTGGTGAAACCCACCCTGTATGAGAATATTCCAGGCAACCCTGTCTGCCCTACACCCCCACCGCCGCCAAGAAAGGGTTCGTGACTCACGTAAAACCTTCTCTGTATATCTCTAACGTTTTTCAATCATACTGTGTGTACCTTTTCGATTCGATATAAGGAATCTGTTGTTGAAAATAGGCGACTGGACAAGTACCAAATTTTGAAATTTCCTAATTTAGAGGTTACAAAAGATTTTTTATCGTATTCCAACGATGAAGATATTCCTGATTTTTGAAGGGGAGGCATTTTGTGTTACGAGGTTGGCTGCAAAAGTGTTAGATGTGACTGTAGTTGGCGCTACTGAGAAAAATTTATTTCTAGGGATTGTCCAGCAGGGAGATTCTGTTTCACGATCGTCTATTGTCGTACGATACGATGATGAACTCGGAAGTCGAAATCATTTCCTATTATATTTCTTGATTAAGTCGCGATCGAATTCGACTTCGGAAATCGTCGGTTTTTTTGGCGAAATGGGATGAGATTTTGATCAAATACAACGAACATGGAGGCCATAGCCCCAAAGCCATCACAAATTTGAGGTTATGGTGGTTATATGGGTTGCGTGCAAGAACTGTCAGATGACCGACCCTGGAGGTGAAATATTGACACACAACCTCAGTTTTCTTATCTGTTTATGAGTGATTGAAATGGTTTTTCACAATTATTTTGGCATACGAATAGTGTTTTTTGGCCATTCATTAATTCGCGCATGCCATCACATTGTGCTGTTGTACAATGCATAAAAAATGCAGCGGGAGACGAAGGAATTCGGTTGGTACATTATGATTCAAAAGTAAGTACCTACTATAGTCACTCACATATTGTTTTCAGTTTTGAAATTAGGCAATTTCTCTGATTTGTCATCGGAATTCCTTCTGCAATAGGAGCTGATAGAAATACTCGTGAAATTTCTAAATTAATGCATGAAGATTGGATTCATGCAATCAAACGGGAGGACTGGTCTGACATGCTAACGAAATATGATCCTGTGTGTTGTAGACATTTTAGGAAAAACAATAATTGTGCAATTATTATTGTTTCGATTTATTATGTTTTATAATATGTATGTTTTGTTGTATATATCCCTATTATAAACAATAATGTTTCTTGGGGTAATAAAGACAATCAATCAATCAATAATATATCAGCAGTATTTAGGTTCTATTGAAAAAGTGGCAGAAGGAATTTCAATGAGAAATGACAAAATTTCATAATGAAAACTATGAGAGATTACTATTTACCTAAAAAATCGTATTCTTTCGTCTCTCGCTGCATTTTTGTGCATTGTACAACAGCACCATGAGAAGGTATGCTTGAATTAATGAATAGCGCAAAAAACACGATTCGTATGCTAAAATATTGTGAAAATCTATTTCAATCCTTTGTTTCCTCTGTAAACAAATGAAAAAAGTGAGGATTTGTTTCAATGTTTCATAAAAAGTGAGGTTGTGTTTCAATATTTTACCTCCAGGGTTGGTCATCGTGCACGCGACCTATTGTTTTTATGAATTTCAATTTTCCCAATCCCAAGACAAAAATAAAAATAATTCTGATTGTTCAAGATCGTATTTCAGCAGTTGAAGGTAGGCAAAGAAATTTGTATCAAATTCGTCAACGACAAGAACTATGAAACAGAAGTAGGTATATACCCAATCCTTTTTCATTACCTGAAAAGTGATTTATTGAGCTATTTAGATTGAACAAAAGGTTGGTGGCTTCTGATACCATCATTGAGAACCCACTTATTAGTGGATAGGTCAAAGTATGAAGTACAGAATCTCAAATATTCTGTGCATTGAGGTTTTATGCAACTGAATCATAGCAAAGATGCTACCTAATGTCATTTCTCAGGAGTTCACTCGCCAAGTCCCAATGAATTCACTTGGCTTAGCCTGTTTCACAGTATTTTAATTGATGTCACGACCATTAGACTCTGAAAATCATCCTGTGGCCGTGGCTATGTTTTGTGCTGTTCTAAAACTGTTATTAGTTGCGTTTTATTTGTTCCATTCTGGTATCGGTGGTGGGAACAGAATGACATTTGCAAATAAAACGACAATCTTCATGACCTAGCCGATGATAGAGGTTAAATTTCTATATTGGGGCTCCGAATAATTTCAAAAAATCATAATACTAGAGTTGAAGATTGGAGGGACTTCTTCGAGAGGTCGAGAGAATTCATTATATCTGGGAATGAAGATTTGAAACCTGTCTTACTTGGAAGAATTATAAACTTGTCAGCCTCATGATGAAAATGTCTGCTAACCGCCTCCTATTTTCAAATAGTTTCGTTTTTCATCAATTTCATTTCTTGACAACTGTCATTCCAAATCATTCCCTGTAGAGGGACGGAATGAAAAGTAGCATCCGGAATCAGAAAAGTGTCAAATGAAACCACACATTGAAGTGATTCCGGTGGCAGAATGGGATAAATAAAACGCAACACGCAACATTTCTCAGTGGGCATCTCTGAGTTTGAACGACATCGAAAATTAATTATATATTATATTTATGCAGTAATAAGTTGATTACACACTTTCAAAGCTGTGCTTTCACATAAACAAGATGATCATGATCTAACCTCGAATTGGGATGAAGATGAAGAGAAACATTCGATGATAGATAAGGATAGATTGACAGAACGCATCGACTCGACTCCTCTTGAGCTATCGAGGAATCAAGTCGAGTTTACACGATTCATTCGAGAAACAGAATACCAAATATCAAATAAAGATGACCGATTCGACTCGATTCGTGAAATAGAATATCCCTGCTGATTTTTGTACATTCAATCAGGAAGGTGATGAAGACTTTGCATAATGAACATAATGAACATCCGCAAATGCGTCATAACTCAGCGATTAATGTTGAGACTATATTTTCTCTAACAAGATTTCAGACATAAAAACGAGAAGATCAGAAGAACAGTTGAAGTGTGAATGAATGCAATATATTCGAATTTTGAAACATCATGACGTCAATTGAAGAGTGAGCGGAAATTAAGGTACTGAATGCTGAAACAAAAGTTTCCATATAATGGAGAAAAACTGAATATGAGTCAGAAAAATATTTTAAGGAAAGGTTTATAAGTTGTATGCATTTAATCCTATACGGAAAACCTACTTCTCAACAAAAATTTGCAAACTGAAGTTCTTGTTACAAAAAAAAAACAAATTTGAACAAGTTCAAATTAGGAAAAGGTCCAAGTGCCATGACTTATTACGAGTACAGACACAATTCTGTTCACTCCTGAATGAACCAATATCTATATTTCTCTTTTTCTTCGGTTTTCTTCCATTTTAATGTATTCCAAATCAAAAAGTTATCACACCTAACATACACGTGCATATGTTTAGACATAACTGAAGTCATAAATATCACAGTATACAGTGTCTTTCATGTCGGCATCATACGGAAAACACATTTAATAATAATTTATTTAGCCTACTCTGTCAGGAGTCACGTGATTTTCGCTACATGTCAAAAGTTGAATTTTTCAATATTTATCGCTGAAATTAGTTTTATTTGTTCGAGTTTCAAGAAAGTTTACTAGGAATATTTGATTCTGTTCGAATTTGAACGTTCTATTGCTACTGTTAGCTCTTGATATTTTTTGATTTCATCTAATAATTGTCCACTTCCACAAAATTGTCCTAAACTCTGGTGAGATACGTAAAGTAGCTTGATGATATTTTGACCTTGGCATCATTTTAGTACTGGAAAAATCCATTTGAATAAATTTTGCTCCTGAATGCTAGACGATAGATCAACTTTGCATCAAACAGAAATTTGAAGGGGGAATTAGTATTTTCTGAAGAAAATCATATTTTTGTCGATAATTAGTGATTGAAAGTTAGTAGCATGATAAAGCTACTAGAATGAAATAGACATTTCGGAGAGAAGGAAAATATATCAAAAATTGAAAGTTGTTATGGAACGTTCGAGTTCGAGAAACATTTATGTAAAATCGGAATAGAAACACTTTTTCTCTGTATACTCTTCTGAAATTCGAACAAATAAGCCTATTTTCAGTGATTGATTTGAAAAAATGAAACTTTTGACCAGTAGCGAGTCACGTGATCAGTTTGAATCGCGGCACGTTTGAATATTCGCAAAAGGGACATTTCTCCCTTTCATTTGCTGTTTATTTCAACACATGACAGAAGTATGTCCGGATTAATAGTGATATAGCGATAATAAAGAGTATAAAATGATCCATATAGGATGAACCCACCATTCAAGCGTTTTCCAGCCTGCTTAAACTTTTTTTTCAGTACGTAACTCGAGGTACAAAATCGGAAATGCGGCAACATCGAGTGGATCTTCCATGACTGTCACATGTATATTGTTCCAAAATAACGTCAGTTTAACGTGATTTGCAGCAGCCGCTACTGCAAACCATGTGATAGATTGTCAACCTCTTCAACTAGCCAGCAGTGGTAGTTTGACATGGTAAAGGGCTTTCACGCTGGGTTGATAGTGACGTCAATATGTCAACACATACAGTGATGCCAGTTGAAAGAAAATGACTGAATGACCAATGTCTAGTGTTACGATCGTCGGACGTTATGTTTTTTGGAACCAACTCAAAAGCCCTCCATTTATGTCTCAAAATCAGCACTCGAAGTTGACAAATGAACTTCAATATTTGTATTTAATGAACCATGCACCTATACAATATACTGAATATGGAATTTAATGATAATGAAATTCTTATAGAGAACAATAACTTGAAGAATGGTTTATTATATAACATCAACAAATAATCACAGATATTGACATTAAAAATAACTTATTTTTCTACCAATACACAATTATGTCTTGAATGATTTTTTTTTAAAATAAAACTGATCAGTATTCACATTTCCTGAGTGAAATTAATAAAAACTTTGAATTCAATTTTGGGGTTATCTAATCGTTGAATGTTTTTCGATTACTATAAATTGGTGAAATGAAATAGAAATTCGATCGATTGATTTTATTTCGTGGGAAAATAAATAGTGGTGCATCTACTTATATTGGAAATTATGAAATAGACAACAAGAGTTGTTCTAACTTCAATATTCTCAATATAATTCATGAGGAAAACCCACAAAAACTCATGAAACCACTATGTTATTACAATAAACTAACACAAATCATATTTGGATCATTCGGACAACACAACATATCATTATTAATATCATCATTCAACTTACATCTCTCACAGCAGTCATTGGAAGTAATGGACCATCTTCTGCGTCTATGCGTTTAGGCATTTTGAATAAATCGAATTTCAACTATGATCCACAAATAAATCACAAACAATCCCTTGGAAGTACAAATTGTCAGTAATGAATAATTCCCAGAGATCAGCT